TGTGCTCTGCTTTTCTGGCACTCCATGAAATGCTAACAGTGTTTAAAATGCACTCAAAGAGAAGGACACATACTTATTATCCTGATGGCGAGAGTACATGCTTATTATAATTTGTAGATTAGAGGAAGTATTTTTTTTAGAAGTTTATAATTTCACTTATTGATCTATTTACATAATTACTATGTGTTGTTTTTTTAATGTTTCCATCCGATGAATTGTGGGGCAAAAGTTATGTATGTGTTATGTAATTGTAAATAAACACAGTTATTTATGAAATAATAGTGTTTTTATTCAAATACGCTATAAAGTGATCAAGTTAACAAATAAATAAATAAAAACACAACCAATCAGCCTGATTACAAGAAAGCAATACATGTCACCAAATGCAGAAAACTAATGTGGCAAACCATTATCTAAATGCTTTATCAATTTATTTTGTATCTGAAAGGATGCAATTTGAAAGGATGAAGTTGTTTGATTGTTTTTTTAAGAAACAAAGAACTTTATACACCTGTTACAGATGAAGATGCATATGTATGAAAAATAATGATAAAGCATTTGATTCCTTTGGATTCCCATCTAGCATGAACAACTGGATTATTGAAAATATATTTAAGGAATTCCATAACCTGCAACCTTAAGCACAACGACACAAAAATAACACAAGGGCCACTCCAATTTATTAGCAATAACTCAATAATACCGTCATGCAGAGGTTCAGTCTGCATCAATGAAGAATTAATTCATCTACACAGTCTGGCAAACTCTGACCTTCAAATTAAATTTGTGAATAAGTTGACCAACCAAGGGAACTCAAATTTGATTATGACTAAAGCATTAATTACTATAAGTGGGACCAAGTTGTTGTCTTGCAAGTCTCAAGCAAGTTTCAAGTTTTTATCCTCAAGTCTTGAGTAAAGACAGATAACTGTCAAGTCTAGTACTGTGTTTGAAACTTGGAATTTCAAGTCCAATTATAAATGATTATTTATCTCAAATTGTAGTGAAACATATGTAACTGCACTTACAAAGAATAAAATCGCATGTTGTACAGTTCAGTTAAATGTAGCTGCACCAATAGTCTTCCTTTAAAATATAAAAGCAGAACTTCATGTTCAGACTTAATGCATAGGCTGCAGTAAACAATCCATTTATTCTCAATATGATTTCCTAACATAGATGTATTAAAATATATATGACCCATCCTCTGATGAAACTGGACCTGTTTCAGGGCGATGAGGAGGAGACAGAGCTAAACTCTCTTCCCTCAGCTGAGATACAGAACTCGCTTTCTGAATCAGCTCCCCACACACTGTCTACAAGTAACCTTGAGCTAATAAGCTACATGTTATTCTTGATTGCTCTATAAAAATAGCATGACAAAAATAGTATACATGCTAAAACAAAACTGTGTAATCAACCTAGCCTTGAGAACACTTGCAAATAAAATGAAGCTAGCTATAGTTAGCTTTGTCATCATAGCAAAAGAAAAGTATCACCTAGTACCATTCTTCATTGAACTTCAAATGTGAAATTGTTCCATCTCACTCTGTTATTTTTTGTGTGCATATTTTGCACGCTGCACTTTTTTTATTTTTTTATTTTTTATTTTTTGCTGAGTTCTGCACAGTTTATGTACCTGAACAAAATAAAAATAAATGTATTAATGTATCTCACTTTTTTAAATATAATATTTAAATATAACATTGGTTTAGATAATTTCAAGTCCCAAGTCATTATTGCAAAAGTCCAAGTCTAGTCACAGGTCTCTCAACATGTTTTCAAGTAAAGTCTAAAGCTAGGCTTTATGCATACATAGTGCCATTTATAACAAAATAACCATGTTACTGTGGCATTCAGGGGTTTGGACTATACAATTTTGAGTGTTGCCAACAACGCCACCTGGGGTTTTCACCCAGGAATTAAT